GCGGAGGTTGCGGTGAGCCGAGATCGCGCCATTGCACTCCAGCCTGGGTAACAAGAGTGAAACTCCGTCTCAAAAAAAAAAAAAAAAAGCAGGCCAGGTGTGGTAGCTCGTGCTTGTAATCCCAGCACTTTGGGACGCTGAGGCAGGTGGATCACCTGAGGTCAGGAGTTAAAGACCAGCCTGGCCAACCTCTGGGAGGGGGAGGTTGCAGTGAGCCAAGAACACGACACTACTCCAGCCTGGGCAAGGCAGAGTGAGACTCTGCATATATATATATAGTGTTTTGGAATCATTGTTTTAGAAAAATGGATTAAAACTCCCCAAACTTAAATATATAGAAATATAAATATTAAATATATATATATGTCTTCATATAGCCAGTCCATATCCATCCAAAACATCCAAAAGGCATATATATATATATAGTCTTCATATATAGTTGGACTGGCTATATGAAGACATAACAGATTCCACCTGCACGGAGTTATCTGTGGCACTTGCTGAAAAATTAGAGTAATGTCTTAGCTTACAAGGGGCAAGGCAAACTTTTCAAATGAAAATTTTTTAATCTACTTGAAATTACATATTCCCTCCATACGCATAAATGAATCTAGTAGATAAAGGGATGATTCTGTAGATGCCAGTGAAACTTGGAATTCAGTTTAGTTATCTTCTGAATAGTTATCGTCATAGGGAACTGCAGAAGGTATTACTTAAATTGTTCTGATAAAATCATGTTTTATCTTGGGAGAGTTAAGAATGCTACTCTTATATTAAAATAAGTGGTGGTAGAGAAAGCAGGGAAGATAATCAGTAAATTTGTATGGGTTTAGTAAATTTTTTGCATTTACCCAAAGTTCTATTTAAGTCTACTTTCTTTATATAAATGCACAGTTTCTTAGAAGAATTTTCAAGAAAGGGAGAGGAAAGCTAATGAGTGCTTCAAAGGTAATAAAAATATAGCTTTTCAGGAAAAATGATACTAGGCTTAGTACTGCTTAAAGTTTTTATTCAGGATTGAATGAATAAAAGGCACACTTATTAAGTATTTAATATCACCAAGTTGGGTGGAGTGATTCAAACCTTGAAAAACAGGCTTAGAATATTTTATGAATATGACAGGTTGGAGTAGCTTGATGAAAACAGGATGAAGTTGTTATTATCACCACTTTGGATGGATAGTGTCATGTTGACTTATCTATGAGGAACTTGGGGAGCTTTCACATACTTATTTTCAAAACTACTTTGTGCTGCAGGAAACCGATTTTATCTGTTCTACAGGTAGTGCAATTAGAGCATGAAGACATTGTGACTCATTTAAGGTTGTAGGCTGGGCACTGTGGCTCACGCCTATAATGCCAGCAGTTTAGGAGGCTGAGGTGGGTGGATCATCTGAGGTCAGGAGTTTGAGACCAACCTGGTCAACATGGTGAAACCCCATCTCCACTAAAAATACAAAAAATTAGCCAGGCATGGTGGTGGGCACCTGTAATCCCAGCTATTTAGGAGGCTGAGGCAGGAGAATCACTTGAACCAGGTAGGAAGAGTTTGCAGTGAGCTGAGATTGCACCATCACACTCCAGCCTGGGCAACAAGAGCAAAACTCTGTCTCAAAATTAAAAAGAAAAAAAGGTTGTAGTTAGTGAAAGATACAAACTGAACATAGGCTCTTCAACCCTCGGGTCCAGATATCTGTTCCCTGCAGTAGTGTTCTCAAACTGGTGTTCTCATCAGGATCACCTGGAAGGCTTATGATAACAGACTGCTGGACACTAGCCCTAGAGTTTCTGATTTTAATAAGTCTGGGATGGTCTTGAGAATTTGCCTTTCTAATCGGTTCCCCAGATGATACTGATGCTCCTGTTCAAGGAGCACACATTGAGAGCCTCTGCTCTAGACCAGTGGCACACCACTCTCTTCAAGTTAAGGCAACATGTAAAATGATAATTTGTGTATGATACCCTGGACTAAACTACAGACCCCATTCTTGGCTTGAGGTAAATAGCCCCAAACAATAGACCTTATGACTGAGGAATCAGTATTAGTCCATGGGGGATCCTCAGCAGAAGAAGAAAAATAGGACAATTCACAGAGCATTTATTAGAGCTAAATAGATTTAAAGGACTCTCCTTTATTCTGAAATGATAATCTTCCTAATACTTTGGTGTTAAAATGCCATTTCTTTCACAAAAGGATTATGATCACAAATGTTTTACTTAATATCAAGTCTTATTTGGAAATCTTAGAAAATGACAACCTCAAAAAA